CGGGAAGAAGGCATCCAAGTGAACCCAAAACACTTAGGAAATTTTCTGAAAAAATCCTAAGTGTTATGGTAGTAAAGCAACGACGAACAAGCCGACCAGGCCACCGGACAGGGTGGACTACCCCATGGACGTAGCGGGCACTCGCGGGTCACCCAAGTTATGACCTTGACACTTAGGCAAATTTCAGAATTGAAATAACAAATAGCAAACAAGCATACAAGGAATTCAAAGCTGATCGGGACAGCAAAATATTTTCATATATATTCAATTCAGTACAAAGGTGGGCTCTTCGGCCGTTACATCATTTGGGCAAAAATGAAAACTAACTACAAAGGAGTAGCCGATCAAGCCTCTGGAGCACCTCCATCCGCGGCTGGCTCTTCGGCCTCGTCTGCTCCCTCTTCGGCCTCAGCCTCCTGGCCGGCGGCGGCTGCAGCACTTGTGGCATCGTCCAAAAAATCAAACTCGGTGTAATCCGGCTCGCCAAGGCCGGAGCTTTCAATTGGGGACTCCCGCTCCGACAAGGGAAGCTTTGCCTGCTCTTCTGGATCCTTCATCAGCTTCGGCAGCTTCAGGTTCCGTCTAGCCCACCCAGACGTATAGTTCATGGCTTTCAAAGCACGAGAGAGCCGCCGACACAGGAGCCTTTGCATCCGCTCCTGGCCCATGTTATAATACACAGACATCTCTCGGCTGAAATACTCCTGGCCGGCGGGGGAGTTCATCCCCCAACTCTCAAGCCTGGCGGCCACCACCTCGTAGCACCAGGGGAGCCTCTCATCGGCCTTCCACCCCTCGGCCAGGAACTTCTCGACGGCCTCATCAGCAGCCCTCACGACGGCGGCCTCGGCCTCAACCTTCGCCTTGACGGCCTCCTCGCTCTTGCGCCGCTCGGCCTCCAGGGCCCTTTGGGACTCCTCGAGCTCCCTTTTGCTCTCCTCGAGCTTGGCCAGGGCATCGTCCCTGGCTGCGGCGGCTTCATCGGCCCTGGCCTGCAACGCCCTGGCATCCTCCCGGAGCCGGTCCAGGCAAGCTACCGCCTCGTCGGCCGAGGCAGCCTTCTGCTCCAGCTCCTTCAAGCGAGCTATCTCTCGGTATTGCCTCTTGTGGCTCTCCATAAGCATGAAGGCACTCTGCAGAAACAAGGGAAACAAATGTCAGGCAAATGATTCTACACGGACGACGAGAAAAACGACACTTACGAAGGAAAGTAACTTACTTGGACGAGGAGGTCCATGCCGCCCTCGTAAATCTTAACGTCCCCGAGCTTCTTCAAGTAAGCCCGATCTTTGGCCGGCATGGCCTGGGCCAGGACGTCGTGGCCAAGGACGACATCATCGAACACACCCCCGCCGACGGGGTATTCTACCATCTTCTGGTAGGTGGCACCGGCTATCTCCTTGCCGGCCCTCTTCGTCCGCGGTTCCTGGACGAGAGGAAGCGACGGGGCAGCATCGCCAGCAACAGTCAGGTCCACGACGGGACCACCATCGTCCACGCTGGGAACAGCCAGAGTACAGGCCTCGGTAGCCGGGGAAGGAGAAGGTGCCCTCTTCGTCTTCTTGGAGACGTTCAGGCCGGCCTCAGTTAATTTCTTCTGGCCGTCAGTGGCCGGCCTTTTCTTCTTCGATTGGGCAGGCCTTGGGGGCGCATCAGTAGTAGCCCCACTCCCACCGGCCGCGGCACGTCGGGCCGCCTCGGCCGCCTTAGCAGCCAGCTCCTCGGCCGCTTTGGCCTTGGCAATAGCCATTATGGAACGCCGGTCCATGGCAAAATCTACAAAGGAAAAACACAACAGATTAGTAAAGAAAAGGAACAAAACATAAAGACAGAAAGCCGAAGAAATAATTACCATCGGCCTCAGCAGGAACGCCCAAATCCGGGCAGTCGGCCTCTTCAAATGTGGTCATCATCGGCCAGAGTTGGAGGTCATCCTCCTTATCTCCATACAGGTGGTATCTGAAGAAGCCGAGGGCGGTCATCTTGTATTCAGTAACGTAATCCTTCACGCTCCTCGGCCCCCCTTCCAGGAAAGCCTCCACCTGAGCGTCCAAGATAGAGCTCTTCGGCGGGTCATGGAGATTGAACCTCCCGGTATGGCCGAGAGAGGGGAACTCGGTGCCACTCTCACCCAGGGATACGAAAACGAACTTGCTCTTCCACCCATGAATGGACGAAGGCAAGTCCGTGAAGCTCCTCTTCTTCGGCAGCTGTTGAAGAGTAGCATAGGCCGCACAGTTCTTGTGGCTTCCGCGGCCGATCTGGTACAGATTCATGAAGAGGGCCGTTGTCGGCCTGTAGCCTAGCTCCTCACACCGGAGCAAAAACCCCACCATCAAGGAGTAGCTGTTCGGCGTCAGCAAGGCCGGAGGAAGCCCTACCATGTCCAGGTACTCAATGATGAAAGGGTGAAGGGGGAACCTCAACCCCTTAGCAAAACTCATCGGGTATACTCCAAAGTATCCCGGTGGCGGAAGAAGAACATGGTCCGTCGGCCTGGGTGCCCTAACCCGCCCGAACGGCCCCACGTACATCTGGGCAACAAGATAGTCGGCCGCACTGCTCTCTGGCTTGATCAAAAAGATATTGGTGAGATCCAGGTAGGAGAGGCCCGGCCCATTCTTCGGCCTCCTCACCCTCTTCGGCTTAACTGCTCCCTTCATGGCAGACACCGGCCTCGAGCAGGGAATGACAGCAGAAGTGGACGCCCCGTCCACCACTCGAGACGCACCTACGTCCTCACCTTTTGAAGAGGAGGCAGACTCCTCGTCCTCGCCTTCCTCGTCCACCGGCTCTTCGGATTTGTAGGGACTTAAATGCTCTATCTCCTCCTCGAACTCCTCGAGCACCTCGTAGTCAAGTGACCTCGTGGAGGGCTGGTCGTCGTAGGGGTAGTAATCTTCGTTCAAGCTCTTCATAACTACTACTACGGGCCTAAGGAGACTAACTTAAGATCTAAGGGTGTTCAAACGCCTAACACTAGATCAATACTCTAGGAAGCAAAATATGAAAAGTGAGGAAGATCGCGATGAACACTAACCTTGAACAACGAAGAACACGAAGAACAACCTTGGGAGTTTATCTCTCTAGAAAAATGTCCAACACTTCGACAATTCAGAATGCAAATGTGATTTCTCGTCGGAGGGGGAGGGGTATTTATAGACCCCTCCACCCAACGGTCACTACACGTGGCACTCTCCCAATGGCCACATCAACGGCCACCAACGGGAGGCCACCACGTCACCAACGGGCCAGGCCCAACCCACATCAACAGCCCACTGGCAAACCAGACTCCAACGGCCTACACACTTGACGGCTTTACAAGTACCAGCAAGCGCCCACAACGTCCCACTCGCTCGCCAAGATCACAACTGCCAAACAATAAGGAGACGGCAACGGCCAGGAACGTAACGGCCACAGGACCAAAGGAACAAAGAGCCCACAAGCCATAGGCTCCTCGTCATGACCCTTGATGATAACTCTCTACAAGCGATCCGCGCACAAGGGTTCTCCCACAGGGTTACCTTGGCCGGAAAATCGCCATGAGGGTTGGATTCAGGGGGACCACGGGGAGGCCGCTTCGGCCAGGGACTCAAGCAACTCCTTCACCCCTCACACTCTTCGGCCTGAAGCAGTGGGGGACTGGGGGACTACACCGGCCTCAACAAAACAAAAGAAAATGCAAACAAGGTAACCACAGAGCATGGCCACATCGGCCACGCATCACACTGCACCTCGTCGACCGAAGGCACACAACGTCATCTGCAACGGCCAACGGGCCACCAAAGGCAAGGACACTCATCGTCCTCCGCCATCACTTAATCACGAGGGGCTCTTCGGCCAGAAACATGAAAGCTAATCAACGACGGCCAAAAGGAGTGCGCAAACACCCTCATCGGCCATCCAAAGGGAAAGACGCCATCGTCCTCGAAGCAAGGACCAACTTCAGTGGCCTCATCGGCCCAAACACAAACTTCAACCATCAGCGCCCAAGCAAAACGTGCCTTCAACGGCCACCGTTGAAAGAAGGACATTCATCGTCCCGAAACGAAGACATCAAGTAAACAACGGCCTCCCTGTCCACAACGAGGAACAGGTAACGGCCAAGGGCAACAAAGCACAGGAATCTACTCTCCTTCACTTCGTCTACGTCTCAGCTTAGAGAGTGGGGGACTCCTGATGGAGTATATGGGTCTGAGCCCCCGGACCCACATACTCGGAAGAACAGAAGGCACAAGACAACAGAGTGGCGCCCTCGTCGGCCAAGACGCCCCCGTCGGCCGAAAAGGGGCCAACTCGGATTATGGTCCTGAGTCCAAGGAACCCGGGTGCCCTCATCGGCCGTGCCCTCGTCGGCCAAGAAGACCTCCCAGAATCGGATTTTACACTTACTCATTTGTACAGCCCATTAGTGGCTTTGTATTCGGCCCAGTAGCGGTCCAGTTGTAAATGGGCCTCCCAAGCCCAAGACTTGGGAGCCCAGCCCTAATTTTCTCTATAAATACTCCCTTTGGGAGTAGTTATAGGGGTTACAAAATCATTCTATTGAAGCATATTATTGCACTTCTCTCTCTAGCTCTCACTTCTCTCTAGATATACTCTATCAGTGCTAAACAAGGCCGCAGTCAAGCCGTAATCGGACATGTCTCTGATACGCAGTTAAGACGACTTAAGGTTCCATTTTAGGTCAAACTAATAGAGAAATAGCTCAGGATCTTAGTATAGTGATATATTATTTTAAATTAATCCCATATATAGGACAAATACTTATAGAAGTACTCTATATAATTTAGTTACATAGATGTTTTCAAAAATATTACTACAAAAAAAACTTATGTAATATTTACAAAAAAATATCATTGTGATAGTTACGGTAATCCGTACAAGTATAATGTCATGATCAAGGTCACTATCCTCAAGTAAAAATTGAACATAAGGTAATATAACCAAAATTATTATTATAATCAATATCACATTTTTCTAAATAATCTCCGATACAGGGATTACTAAATGTGACAAGAGAGGGTAAGGTGGACGTGCTAACGGACGAGGCAGACGGAATGAAGTTCAAACTAACGGACGCCGTAGCTGTTGCAGAGGATGGCATCATCTATTTCACGGATGCATCCTGGAAATACAGTCTTAAGGATTTTGCTTTTGATTTTCTTGACGGAAGGCCCTATGGCAGATTTCTAAGTTATGATCCCAAAACAAAGCATACCCAAGTGCTTGCCAAGGATTTGTTCTTTGCCAATGGTGTTGCTGTCTCTCCAGACCAGAGCTTTGTCATTTTTTGCGAAACTCCCTTGTAAGTATATATGCTTGCTAGTCACCTAAATTTTAATTTATAGGGTATTACAGGAGTGGAACTAGGACACCGGCAGGCCGGATTCTGAAGTACAAAGAATAATTTTAGAAAAAAATTAGTACACGAATTTTTTTACATTACAACTAAATACATTTTTTTAAAATGTGACGTGGGCGGGACCTAAGTTAGCCCCCTCTAGCTCTGCTCGACTATATGTCTATTAATGTAATGGTATGGTATGTTGTAGCCTTGTAGGGCCATAGGGGTGCATGGACACGTTGTAATCGGAACTAGACCAGGATTAGTCTAGGATCATGATGAAGTACATGAACAATAAAATCAGGCGGAACAAAACGCCAAATATGACGATCAGTCATAGAACACGCCGCCCTAGCTAGAGACTGAGCAACATTGTTCGCAGAACGTTGAACATGAGTAAAAGTAATGCTACTAAAATGCATACTCAGAAAAATGATATCCTCTGCTAGAAACCCCTTGATCGAGCAACTAGACCTGTTGTTTATCTCGGCAATAGCGTGTGAAGAATCTGAGTCAACTTCGATAAAATTCCATTCTTGTTCCTTTAACCAACTTAAAGCCTCCTGAATACCCAATAACTCAGCTTCAACCGAGATACACCCCCCGGCCTTTGACAAACCCCTCCTGCCAGAAACTCCCCATCTCCATCTCGCAACACCCATCCCAAGCCACATCGTGAATCCAAAAGGGAAGCATCCACATTGAGTTTCACCTTCCCACTTGGAGGACGGTTCCAGTGAGCTTTCCCCACAATGCACTATAAATCTAAATACTCACTCCGATTCTTAATTAACTTTACACTTTCCTTTTTGGGTCGTCCTATATTAAATTTTACACTTTCTTATTTGCCTTATTTGGCAAACAAATCTACACCAAACAATGCAAAACAGTGTCAAAACAGTGTACTCTACAGTAACATTTACCTCTCAGTAAATTTATTTCCTTAATATATGTAAAGTCAAACTGTAAACTTAATTAAGAACCGGAGAGTGTAATGCTTATCATCCGATTCGTGAAAATCCTATTTTAATGTAGATTTTTTAAAATCTAAAAAATGCTTATTCTCTAAATTAAATGAAATTTCGGCATTGTAATTCTTACCATCCAATTCGTGAAAATCCTATCCTTCAATATTATATTTTTGTGTAAAGTAGAGCGCCGACATATTTTTGTGTAGGAGGAGGTGCAAAAGGTTATTTCTGAAAGGAGAAAGGAAGGGAAATGTTGATATTTTCGTTGAGGACTTGCCAGGGATGCCCGACAACATTCGATATGATGGAGAAGGCCGCTTCTGGATTGCACTTGTCACGGTAATTAATGTTTTTTTCACTCTCAGGAGTCTAAGGGGGGCTGGGAGGGCCTGGAGTAATCAGAGCTGAAACTCACTTCATTGAGCTTAAAACTCTTTATGTGCCTAGCGGGTTTCGAATTCGAGACCTCCCACTAGGCACGGTAATCTCACAACCAGTTGTGCTGGAATGTTTGGTTAACGGTAATTAAAGTTTCTGTTTCTACTCTCCCCACTTAGTATTCCCTTTATTGGAGACTTGTATTAAACTTAGAGTCATCTAAAACTAATTATTCGCGATTATAAAATAAAATTACGTACTTTTAGAATGACTTAATAAAGAATTATAAGAAATCTATTGACTAAAATTGTTTGGTTTTCATTTTCTCAAACGAAAGTTGTTATGATCGGTACTAAAGACTAAAACGGAAACCAGCACACATACATTGTTAGGATGAAATATGAAAAAGTGTATTTTGTAGGTGTGTAAAATAAGTAACATAATTTTTGCAGGGATTAAAACGTATTCTCGAATTGCAATATTTCATATTTGGGTTCTTGTTCCTTTAATTTAAGTGTCGGAAATGTTTTTTGTTTTTTAAACTAAAAGCTTTATGATATTTGGTTTTATAATGCATTGTTTTATAAGATAAATTCTTATAAAGACAAAACAAGCATCAAATTTTGTACCATCTATCTTGCTTATGTATATCCATGTTCAGCATTAACGAGAGAAAATATATGGAGCCAGTGGAGGACCTAGGGGGTCCTAGGGGGGCAAGTGCCCCCACTTCCGACCCCGAAGTTTAAGATTAGTATTAAGATAAAAATTGTGCCCCCGCTACCCGGTCAAAAAAACTAAAGATTTTTCAATAAATATTATCGAAGTAGAACTAATAGACATAAATATTACGTAGTACTATAGTTACTATTAGGGGTGGGCATGATTGGTTAACCGCACTTTGGTTAACCAATTTTCGGTTAACCGTGATGTTGGTTAATATAGTGTTAATGTCATTATCCGTACCGTAACATTGGTTAACCGATACTCGGTTAACCAAAATATCGGTTAACCACTAATTGGTTAACCAAAAACCATGAAAAGGAAAAGAATAAAGTCATCAAACTACTCCGTATTAAACATTTGATTTGTTAAAAAATACATAAGCAGTTCAAGATTAAATTAGAAATTTTATATAGCAGAAACTTTTCCAAAAAAAACTCCCCGGCTCCGAAACTTTAATTAGCCCGTATACACCGTATTATCTTTCCATGTGTACTACTACTTTTCCATATTATATGTTCCTATATCTATGTATTTATACGGTTATTAGGTTAATTATACTATTTATATACGTATAACACTAAAGAAAATGTATACATTTCAGTAGCTTATGTACGGAGTAATTGATTGTAAAGTGTGTATATTATTCCACTATGCATGCGTGAACGTGAATATACATACACCAAAATTCCAAAAATGATACAAAGTGTTCACTTTCCCGTCCCCGTACCTTTGTCGAAATTTATTGTCCGTGTGTAGTGTTTGCGTATAATCCTACGGTTACTGGTTAACCGGTGACATAATTTCCAAAACCGTAACCGTACCGCTTACCATTTTTCCCTCCCGGTTGGTTAACCGTACCGTGAGTTTTAAAAATTCCGGTACGGTTAACCGAAAAAGACACCGGTTTTCCGGTTTTTCGGTACGGTTAAACGGTTACGGTTTTTTGTGCCCACCCCTAGTTACTATGCATAATCACTATAATGATAGATTCAACACAAACATAGTTACTAAAATTATCATTGTAGTTACTAAGTCTTATTGTTGTTCACTATCTTTATTTCAATCATATTGTCATTATTTAAAAAAACTCCATACTATATAGTACTCCACCGAAGACATAACAATTGTAGTAAGAAATAATATGAATTATAAACAACCACGAAGTTGTGATGGAGCAAATTCTTATACTTAGACATGTTGATATGGTTACTACACTTTCTTTGGAAAGTGGCATTGATGATTTTCTTACTTAGTGTAAATAATGTTTGCCCAAAGTTAAAGGTCAACCATATGACAAGGGCTTCTAATATTTACGATGAACTTAATAGATTGAAGACTTTTATCTTGAATAAAAGTCCATACATGAAAAAATGTGTCAATTCATGATAGATTAGTTTCAAACCAACATACTCTTTGAATTTTTTGTCTATAATATGATAAATGTTAGATGTATAGAATTATATTATTACGTAAAGTTGTATTAAAGGATGAAATCATAAATATGATTTATACTTCGTTTTTAACACGATAGTATTATATTCCAGACGAAGTACCAACAAATTTTGTGGCAATATGTGTAACATTCGACATGATTCTAGTTGAGATATGAAATCTTGATCATTTTATAGTATGAAAAAATAATGACAATTCTAATGTAAAATTAGAAATGACGCAAAGATGACTCATTTTTTATCCAAATTATATCTTTCTTTCAAAAAGCCATATATATTATTTAGAATTGTCTTAATAAGCTCAAAATTTGACTTATAATCCATATGTGTTCATTGCTTGAAGCCGGCATTGAATAATCTATTTCCAATTAAAAATAATAATTTGAACGCACTTGACAAAAAGACTAGTGATACACCCGATTCGATCCGATCCGACCCATTTTCATCTATACGGGAGTGCCCCCGCTTCAGAAAAGTTCTGGGTCCGCCACTGTATAGAGCACGTTTGAGTGCTCACTAAAGAGCACACTAGTGTGCTCACTAAGGAGCACACTAATGTGATAATTGACTAAGATTCATTCATTTAAAATATTTAGAGAATCCCGATCATTCACCACACCAGTGTGCTCTTCAGTGAGCATGTCATTGTGCTCCATATATTTTCTCGCATTAACCAGGGGATACATTATCCACATATGATTAACTCCACACATGTTTTAAGTTGTTTTGGACAAATTAAAGTGTTCAAACTAGATAAAAGGATTAAGGTAATTCCCTAAATAGAAGTAAATAAAAGTAATACGGAATATTGTACTAATAGGAGCATAAGTTTTAGTTTTCCAAAATAACAGTAAATCTTTATTTTTCATGGCATTCTTACACAAGATGACATTTTTCCCGACTATCAGAGGTGGCGGTTTTGGGAGGTGGAAGATGTAGCAGCAAAAGCTTACACATTATTTATATTTTTAAGTATTTCTAAAGTTTTATTTTTAATTTTAATTTTTTTAAGTTTTATTTTTAATTGTTTTACGTCTTTAGTATAAATTTATAATTACTTTTATTATTTTTTTGCTTTTATTAAAAATATAACTGTGATTTTGTTATTAATAAAACAAGTCTTATTGGGGATAATAGGAAGGATATTTTTTTGGAGTCAATAGGAAATAAGAATGAGAAAATTAGGAAGAGGAAACATATATTACTCCTACTTTGGAAATAAAAAATTATAATTCTGTTATTGCATTTAGGAGTAGTTTTACTCCTATTTAGGGATAATAGCCGTAAAGAATTTGATATGAAGGCCATTTAATTTTTATACTACCTAACAGATAAAAATAAATAAATATTAGCATACACTAAATATTGAGCACATTTGGAATAAGAAACATATAATTAAACACAAATTGATACTACATATGTATATATGCAGGATTTCACATGGAGTTGGGAGCTTGCACAAAAGCACCCATTTGTGAGGAAACTTTTGGGGTTGATGGAGAGGTATGTGAGGCGACCGCAAATGGAGAAGGACGGAGGAGTTTTCGTGGTGGACTTGGAAGGCAACCCGGTGGCTCACTACAATGATTATCATTCCTCACTCGTCTCAACCGGAATCAAGATTGATAATTATTTGTATTGTGGTTTCGTAAGTCTAATTTTATATTCAGGCTCAATCTCACTATGTAATCCGGCAATTCCAAGTTAATGTCAGGGACGAATTGTGAACTATGAAGTGCTGTTAAAACATTTATTTAAGTATGAGAAACAATTTAGAGAAATGATTAGTGTGCATGGAAAATAAAAGCACATTGTTTTGTTATATGTGTAATTTTTTTTAAAATTACAAAGTCATGACAATGGAGGACGAGGAAATAAAAGAGAGGTGGAGGTCATACTTTGATACCTTGTTCAACGGGAATAAAGTTCAAGGTATTGATGATTTTACTATATCAGAGTGTATGGTAAATCAGGATTTCGTGAGAAGGATCTAAATTATAGAAATTATGAGAAAGATGAAGCGGAAGAAAGCGGTGGGCCTAGATGGCATACCGATCGAAGCTTGGAAAAGTTTGGGAGAGAAAAACATTAAGTGGCTAACACGTTTTTTCAACATGATATGGAGAAAAAATAAAATGTGAGTGAGTTGGCGGAAGAGTACTCTCATTCCCCTATTTAAAATTAAGGGTGATGTATAAGAATGTGCCAACTACTGAGGGATTAAGCTTATGAGTCACACCATGAAACTCTGAGAGCAAGTGGTTGAGCAAACACTTTGTGACAATTTCGGAGAATCAGTTTGATTTTATGTTTGGACGCTCAACAAGTGAGGTCATTCACCTTCTTAGACAAGTTGTATAGAAGTATAGAGACATTAAAATGGATTTGCATTTGGTGTTCATTGACTTAGAAAAGGCATATGATAGGGTACCTCGAGAAGTCCTTTGGTGGGGCTTCCTTAACTAAAAGAGACATATCACGTAAGTATATCAGTATCATCATGGATATGTATGATGCTTGTACTACAAGTGTCCGTACTAGTGTAGGGAGGACCGCAGAGTTCTCTATTACTATCAGAGTGCACCAAGGATCGACTCTGAGTCCTTTCTTATTTGCTATAGTGATGGATAAAGTTACGAAGTCAATTCAAGAAGATATAGCATGGTGCATGATGTTTGCCGACAATATTGTATTGATTGATGAGACGCAATCTGTTGTTAAAGCAAAGTTGGAAGTATGGAAAAAACATTGGAGACCAAGGGTTTCAGACTGAGTCGAAGCAAGACTGAGTATATGGAGTGCAAGTTTGGTAGAGGTAGAAGTAGTATCAATAGTGGAATTACTCTTGATGGTAAGGAGATATCGATTTGTGATATGTTTCATTACTTGGGCTCCATAATTTAGAAGGATGGTGAATAGATGGAGATATATCCCATAGAATCAGAGCTGGGTGGATGAAATGGAATAGTGCATAGGGATTTTTATGCGATCGATGTATGCCACTAAACTGAAAGGTAAATTTTATCGAACAGCAATTAGGCGTGCATTAATGTATGGCGTAGAGTGTTGGGATGGTCAAACAATGTCACATTCAAAAGATGAGTGTGGTGGAGATGAGTATGTTGCGTTTGATGTGTGGACATACCAGAAAAGACCGTTTGAGGAATGAGATAATCAAACAAAAGGTGGGAGTAGCACCTATAGAAGATAAGATGCAGGAGTCTCGTTTGCGGTGGTTTGGGCATGTGCGTAGAAGACCGAATGATGCACATGTTAGACTAGTTGAGGAGTGGGGAGAAGAGACAGAAAGGAGAGGGAGGAGAAGACCCAAACAGACTTGGATTAGAAGAATCAGAACTGATATGCGTCTTCTTGGGTTAGATGATAGTATGACTTTGGAGAGGGCAAAGTGGAGGACACACATTCTGGTGGATGATTGATCTCTTTTCTGTCTTTCCTCTCTCTTCTCTTTTATCGTTTATCTTTTTTATCTTTTTACGTTCTTATGTTATTTTTATCTTCTAGTTTTTTATGCTCTTTTATCTTATATTTATTGTCTTCTCTTTTTGGCATCAATATCATGAATTGATTCATGTTAGCTGAACCCAAAATCTTTTGTGATTAAGGCTTGGATGTTGTTGTGAACACAGAGTCATTACAACATTTTATAAAAATTAAAGCATATAAGATATTTTACATGGTACAATAAGAAACATTTTTAAAATGTATTTTAAAGTTTATTTAAAAGAGTAAACCAAACCATGTAACATATTGACGTCCCTGCATCTTACAAACGCCATGTTAGAGTAATGTGATTAGATCAAAACACTTAAAAGATTTAAGATTGAATGGAATAATAATGAGAAAGAAAATTAAATTTTTTGTATATCCTTCTAAATCTATTATAGTATTTACTTAATATAATATCAACATTCTTGATTGTGAAGAGACTCCGATCTGTGACATTTTATTTGGGAGATCGACAGAAACAAAAACAAAGGGAGAGAAAGAGAAAAAATTATTTTTTCATTTAGAGTTATGTATATCATTGAGATACGTGTTTAAAAAACAATAGAAAAGTGATATATTAGAAGGTGTTAAGAAATTCTTTTTTAAACATGACAAACACTTTATAGTTTTCAGATTTTATTCAAAAATATGAGCCAAAATAAAATAATGTCTAAAGAAATCTAAATTATATTAATGTAATTTGGAACTGACACTAAGCACTAGGAATTTTATTAATTATTGATAATCATTTACATCTCAATTTTACTTAGATAATATTTAAAAAATGAATATGAAAGCATTCTAACTAATTAAACAAATGAGCACCCCCTATGCATAAAATTATTAAAAATGGAGAAAAGAGTTCAATACATCATTATACTATTTTCAATCCATCACTTAAAACCAGTTACTAAACAAATATCATATGAATACAATTCCTTTAAAAAATCAATCAATTTGGTCTTGTAATTGATTTTTTGACCTGCAATGCTGGGTTTGTTATATTAAAAATATTTAAAATTTTGTAAAAATTCGAAGAAATATGAATACAAAATGTCTACGATTTAAGAATTGCAAAGTCTATATTTTTACATTTTTGGAATTATTTGTGTATTATACATGCTTTTAAAAGTTAATACACTTTAATTTTGTATTTTTTACACTTCACTTTATTTTAACGTGATGAAATTATTTACCTTTTTTTTGAACCCGGTAGACAAACCATCAAAATTGGTGGGGCAAATGCCGGGAAACATTTTCCAGAGTTTTATTAAATAAAGAAAAGGTACAAAAGAAGAAGGGGGCTAGACCAAAACCTCTTCAGTGAGGGCATTCCCTCACGAAATACAACGGAAAGAATAAAAAGAAAACAAGGTTGGGGGGCTATACCTGACCCAACTAAACAATTAAAAGAATTAAATTAAGCATCTAAAAGTGGGTAAATTAAACAAATCCAAAGTGCAAGCTTTCCTAATAAAAAATGGCAAAGAGAGATAACCAGTCCAAGATGTAAACTGGGCTGGGTTGGATGGAAGCAAGAAGATGAACAAACCCGTTTCCTTCACGTAAAACATGGCCCAAACTTAAACCTTTCTTAAAAAGCATTTGTCTGAACTCAAAATTATGTCCGCTTATTGAACTTAAACTATTTTTTATAGGAAAAATTGACTGGAATAATCCGAACTATGGGTGGTCCGCTTCTAATAATCCCAACAACGAGTTATATCTGTTTAATCCCAACTTAGGGGGTAATCTTCCCTAATTAAACTATGACCGGTTAGCCTAAATGATAACCGGTTATTATATCACGTGATAAGGCACGTGTATTTATTTAGGGTATTCTGCATCCTCTTTCGTCTTCCTACCGCATTTGTTTGGAGCAGGTTCGAGCTCCATCTTTCTTCTTCATCTACCTCTTGTCTGGAGCGAAAAATGCCTACAAATTCTGGGAAATCGAATTCTGGGTCGTCTTCATGGGGAAGGAGCGATGAAAGGAAGAGTAACAATTCCGTTCAGTGTTACCACAACATATATTTGAAACCTAGGACCGTGAAATCTGGGGCAAACATTGGTCGAAGGTTCTATGGGTGTGCGTTATGGCCGGTAAGTTCAAATATTTATCACTTATATATGGATTTTTTGGAATGATTTAATGAATTAGATTATTTCACTTATTTTATTTTTGTAGAAAGCTGACTGCTCATTCTTCCAATGGGTTGAGGAATATTGTTGTATGCAAGGGGATGATCAGAAAATAAGTGAGAAGGAAAGTGTAATTGGCCGGCTCATTGAAGAGAAAAAAGAGTTAGAAGAGAAGATTGCAAAGTTGAAAAAGAAGTGTGCATCACGGAAAAGGAGATGGCAGCTAAAATCGAAGAGTTGCAAACTTCAGTTTGCAAGCACGGAAAAGGAGAGAAATGTGCATATATATGTTTGATTATGTCTTGGGTCTTGTTTGTCATTATGGTGTATGGGAATTCAAAATGATTATTGGTAAAGTCTTGGAGTCTTGCTCAATATTTTGGTAAAGTCTGAGTAGTGTTGTATGTTTTGGTAGAGTAGTTCAAGTGTATGTAATCTTAAAAACCAATGTAGGAGAAGGAGAGTGTTGTTGGTGAAGTCTGTTGTATACTGTGAGTGTGTTGTCTGCTATGTAATGTACAATTTTATTTTGTTCTTAATGAGAACTTTTGTTGAGTTAGTATACTGTGAATGTGTGAAGTTATTATTTGTGTGCAAAGAGTGCTAAGTTTCAGAAAGAGCAATGTAATACTTACTGCTTCACAACCAAATCAGTAACCCATAATTCACCAACACCTATCCAACTTTGAATCAACTGAATAACCATAAATTAGTATCACCTGTCCAAGTTTGAATCAACACAATAAACATAAATCACTAACACAATAATACACTGAATTAAACCATCTGACCACAACAATATAGTAAACCAGAGTTGCATTACACCATATGAGCACAAATGTTAACATCGTCATTACAAGGAGACATTGCACCAGAATTGCAAAATTACACACACACTTAACACATCTAACATCATTGTTCATAGACTGAGAAAACTACTAACATACTACCACAGGTCCACTCCCTAAACATAGAAAACATAAATAAAGACATAAACTCTTCATTCCAGCATTCTTCACACCACCCTTCATATTTCTGACAGATTCCTTGCCCTCCATTTTGTCCAAGACTCTGTACATGCATATTAAACACATATTTGAAGTTAGAAAGCAATTATGTAAAATTATTGAAATATACTCATACTCACAGATTTATAAATATCTTACATTACT